TTCCTGATGCCTTTTGTGGCCACTAAAGTCTCTGCCAACTGCACTGACTTTCAATTTCCTGCCAGTGACAGTGGCAAGAAGCACCCAGAAAGCGTAACAAGAGCTAAAAAAGAAATTCCCCTTTACAGGGGGGGGGGGGGAGAACAAGAAAGAAATGATATTGTTGCTTGATCCACCCACATGAAACTGTTCCACCAATTCAGCATTACCACACATAGGTAGGGGCATCTTCCTACCAAGTCAACCACAAAGCTTCGCTTCCCTGATGTAAACCTACAGGTGGTCTCTTTGAAACATAAAAGGTTTCCCCTGACCAGTTGTGCCTGACTCTACGAGTCAGTGCTCATCTCCAATTCTTAGCCAAGGGAGCCAGTATTGTCCGAAGACGCTTCTGTGGTCATGTGACCAGCATGGCTATACAACAAAGGCGCATAGAATGCTGTTACCTTCCCACCAAAGTGGTACTTATTTATCTACTTGCAGTTGCATGCTTTCGAACTGCTAGGCGGGCAGGAGGTGGAGCAAGGAACGGGAGCTCACTCCATTGCATAGTGATCGGGTCTCAAATTATCAACCTTCCAGTTAAGCCCAGCATCTTAACTGCGAGGCCACCCTGCTCCTTCTCTGAAACATACAAATGCTCTTATCCATATTCCTTCCAGGGATGGGTTCCTATGCCGGTTGGTACTGGTTCGTTGTGTGCATGCCAGCTGTGCATTGCTGGCGCATGCACAGTTGATTAAATATTGTTCTGTGCATGTGCAGAAACATGCTGGCAACAGCGTAAGAGATCAGGGAACCGGTTCGGGGGGGGGGGTGGCCAGCCTGGGTCACTGCCGGTTCTGCGATCCAGGCCACAATTCCACTACCGGTTTGGCCAAACCGGGAGCAACCCACCTCTGATTCCTTCCAAGGGTGAGATCTCAGCTCACTCTGTCCTATGCAANTCAATTGTGATTGTAAGTTGAAGACGACCTGTGTTTATTATACTTCTCTATCATTCTATTCCCCCCCCCCAAAAAAAAACCCTCCTAGAATAATATATAAGAAAAGACTTTAAATTAAGACCGTCTTGGAACTGAAAACTCTTAAAAACAATACATTGCATTTATCATTTGGAATTAGGGAGTTGGAAATGATCTTCGAGGCCCCTAAATCCAACCCCTGTTCTGTGCAGGAATCCAAGCAAAAGGATCTTTAATTGCCGTCTTTGCAGTCTCTGCCTGAACACCTGCAGAAAAGTGATACTCTCTATTATTTGTTTATGGAAGTTATTCAATTTGTAACACCACCCAATTCCCAGCAAAAACAACCCAAAAAACACAAGAACCACAAAAGAATGTTTTTAAAAAAACCCTTCACTGGGTTTCCGCCTCCAAACAGCTCTCAAGTGAGGAAGCCTTTCGCAACATCTAACCGAAATGGCATTCCTTCAACCCGAATCTAGGGCTTTGTGCATCCAGCCCTTTGCAACGGAATAATCATGGTCTGCATGAAATATGCACCAGAGCAAAGCACCCTTAATTAAAATTGAAGCCCCGTTTTTCTTTATCGTTAAAGTGGATCAGGTTGTATTGGAATTGGGAAGGAAACAAAAGCAGAAATAAAATGCTTAAAAAGGGACGTAAATAAACAAAGTGAGACACCCATCTTCCTGCTCCCTCCTCGCCTTCTAGCCCTTCCCTTTCCGTCTTGGTGGGCAGAGCTCCCTTCCACTCACATCTCCTTCCACCTAGGGTCCCCCGTCCCCCCTCCATTATAATTACACAACTGCACAACTTTCACACCAGCAGCCTGGTAGAGATTTTAGATTGAGGAGCCATTCGTGCTATCTTTAACAACAGCCCTGCAAGGTAGACCTGCCTGGGAGCAGGTGGCCCAGCATGCCTTCCTAATGAGGCTGGGGGGTGGGGTGGGGGAGTTCTCAATGCAATTCCCACCATTCCTTCCCCAGGTCAGTTGCCCTCCCCCTCCCCGCGCCCACTCCTTTTTAACAGCCCCAACTCAACCCAAGAAGCTTGGGGACAATAGGACATCCCCCCACCTCACCCTCAGCCCTTTCTTTTACCCCAGCCCCATGTATTCAGGGTCCCGCTACGGTCCGCACCAAACCCGGTTCCTCAATGCGGGCAAGCAACATGCAAAGCCCCGGGCTCACCAGGCGTGGGCCGGCCGTGCGGACGCGAGGGAGGACTTACGGTCGCCCCCCTCCAGCCATCAAAATGGTACCGTCCCCCCCCTTGCTCGGCGAGCCCTAAAGCAGCCCGACGCTTCAGCGGCCCCGCCTCCCCAGTGGGCGGGGAAGCCCGGCGGCACGCCGATCTCTGACGTCACGCCCAAAAAAGGGGAGGGGCTTCCAAGTGGAAGCGGATTCGCTGAGGGAGCTCGGACAGAGTCTGAAGAAGAGGATGCGCGGGGCCACGTGATGGGGAGGGACAGCATCTCTGTCCCGTCAATGCGGAAGTACAGTAGTTCTCCATCGCCTAATAAGAGATTTCTCTATTGCCCCCTTCCTACGAGGAGGATTTACATTTCTTATTCGTTTTGCATAATCCTGCCCGTATTACCTATTCAGTACCCCATTCAAAGATTTATAGCTCTCAAAGATTGAAATATGCCCCTCACCAGAAACGTTGAACTACAACTCCCAGAATCCCCAGGAAGCATGGGATTGTGGGAATCAGTTGCAGTCTTTTGCATCTGGAGAGCTCTAGATTGCGGGTGGCCCCTGCTAGGAATTTCAGCCCAGTGCTGAAGGGTGTAAAAGCATGTTTGCTGACATTAGGACTGAACCAAGGATGCTTTAAGTATTTGCTTAGAGATAAATGTGGAAGAAGAGATCGTTTGGTGTATTTTAAGAGATGGTAATGAGTTACTAAAATTGTTTATACTTGTTGTGATGAAGGTGGGATGTCACTATTTTTATTTTTTTCTATTTTTTATCCACATTCTATTGTTTCTTTTAATTTTTCGTTTGTAGTATTTTGTACTATTCCAAATGGTAACCTTTAATAAACATTAGTATAAAAAGTACAACTGTGCTTTTTAAACTACTTGTTTTAAGATTGCTCTATCAAAGCAGCCTGTTGGTTTGACTGCTAGAATGTTGCAGAATGTACCATGCTGAAATTCATTTTATATTGAATTTTGTTCTCCCAATATATTCTATTCCAGTTTGTCTGTTCTGAAAGCTGGACATTGCCTGCCATCCAGAGGTGAAGGTTAGTATTTACTGACAGAGATATAAACTGCTTTTTATACATCAGAAATAAATTAGTTCTATCCTGTTTGAATTCCACCTAGGAATAAAGGAGAATAACCTCCATTATAGTTAAAATAGTGATGCGGATGTCAGTACGGTACCCTTTCTCCTGTCTTTTTAGTAGAGGAAAGACAATAACTTAAGGTAAATTCAGTAGGAATTGCAAATAGAAATTGTCAGATGAGTCAGTTGCCAAAAGAGAAAGGTCAGAGTATCTGAAATTCTAAAGAACTATAAGCTGTCAGCACAATCAATAATAGATCAATGGACCAAGATTTAGTACATTGACAATTCCTGCTGGAAACCTCAAATATCAGGTAGCTATATTACAATAATGGAGAGATTGATATCACATGTGAACACTATTAATTACAACATGCATTGAAAATTCCAGGCTTGGGAAGGAGAATTGCTGTAGAATATAGCTTGGATTACACAATTTAGTAAAGCTAAAATGGTTTGGTCAGTTGGTGATTCAATGCTTTGTGGGAAGAAGCTACAAATTTTTCATATTGTTACCAGACCATCCCCTACTTTTTGAAACACAACCAATGCTTCGTTAACGGAGGTTTTTGTGCAAAACCGGCCACTTGTTCAATCATGGTTTAACAAACCACAGTGGCTGAGTTCCACCACACAAAGAAAAACAATCTATGATGGCTTAATGTCAATGGAGATTCTTAGTCATCCAGGTCATGGTTGTCCCAAAGATGCTTTTTTCAAGAGGCAACTGTACTTTCTGGTTTTTCTCATCCAAGAAGCTCAGAGCTGAAGAAGCTTCTTGGATAAGAAGTGAAACATCTTCAAAGAAAAATCAGAAAGTCCAGTTGCCTCTTGAAAAAAACATCTTTGGGATTATGATGATTTAGCAAGCAGCAGTATGTGACCAACTGTGTCATCAATCAATCAGGACAGAGCTGGAAGGGACCTTGGAGTTCTTCTAGTCCAACTCCTCTGCTCAAGCAGGAGACTCTTTACCATTTTAGACAGGTGGCTGTCCAGTCTCTTCTTAAAAACGTCTCCAGTGACAGAGCGCCTACAATTTCTTGAGGCAAGCTGTTCCACTGGTTAATTGTCCTCAGTGTTAGGAAGTTTCTCTTTTAATTCCAGGTTGCTTCTCTCCTTGATGAGTTTTTATCCATTGCTTCTTGTCCCTCTCTTCTTTGTGGCAGTCCCCCAAATATTGGAACATTGCTATCATGTCACCCCAATTCTTCTTTTCTTTAGACTAGCCAAACCCAATTCCTGCAACCTCAGCTGGCTTGAACCTGGTGAATAAATGGAAAAAGGACCCCTGGGAAATCCCATCCCCACCCTTTTTAATCCATAAACCATACACTACATTTCTTATACAACTGAGGAATGCTAAGCTTTTAGGCTAACGAGATCTCAAACTGTCAGCAGATAATGTTAGATGAGTGATTATTGAAACTTTGAGGCTCAAAACTGAAAAAACGTTTGGAAAATGCGTAACTTGACTCTGCTTACAGGTCATCCCTGGTAGAGGGTCCCCTGCTTGAGCAGGGGGGTGGACTAGAAGACCTCCAAGGTCTCTTCCATCTGTTATTCTGTTATCTATCTCTCCATCCACCCACTTTTCTATTCCCACTCTTCTCTTTCTTCCACCCCTCCTCGCCTCCTCCTCTCGCGAGACTTCCTTTCTCCCGCGCGACCTGCAGGCGGCGCGCTCTTCCCGTCTCTCAGGGAAAAGGGCAGTGTGCGATGCCTGCCGGGAGGCGTAGTTCCCCGCCGCCTTCCGTCGTCTGGAGCGGCCGAGGCCCGTGACGCCACACAAGGCCGTCGAGCGCGGCGGGTAGGCCGAGGCGGCGGAGAGCGGTTCTTCAGTCGGCTGTTTTTCCTCTCGCTCGCTCCCTCCCGGCCGGGGACTGGGAACATGGCCGGGTGCAGCACTTGCGCCGCCGTCGCGGCGCGACTCGTCAGCTCATCGCTGCCATCGGCGTGCCGAGGTAAACCCGCCCGGCCGCAGGACCCTCTTCCCTCAGCCGCCGTGTCTCCTCAGCAAGCCCTTTCCCTTCCTCTTTTCTGCCGTCCCTGAGGCGGGGACTACAACACTCATCGGTCACAGCCGCACATCTGGAGGCCCGGGGTGGGAAGGAGGCCCTTAATCTGATCCCCTTTTCGGGGGGGGGGGGGTTGCATGTGACAGGAGTGGGGGAGCGACTCTCTTCAGGGGGAGGCGGAGGCAGGACAACCCCCCCTCCCCAGCCTTTGGATTAGAAGCACTTGTTTGTTTTTATTTTGTGGGGTGGAGGTGGGCAGGTGTGCCTTTAAGTGTGCATGCACGCCCATATATTGTTATCCTGACGTGTGTGTGTGTGTGTGTAAAGGCAGCACCATGTCAGGATAACAATTGCAAATAAAGCAAAGCCAAAAGAAAAAAATCAATAGCAAATCTTAACATACAGGCTAATAATTGTAACAGTAATATATTTACAGTAATTATAGTAATACAACCAAAAAAAAAGATAAAAGAAAATGACCTTTTACTAAATTTCTGCATACATTAGCGTATTTACAATTTTTCCATCTTATATGCATAATTGTATACATCCTTATTCTCCATACTAAGTTATTGTCATTCGTACCCTTCCCTCTCATTTCTACCTTGTGGAAACTTGCACCTGCAAATGTTTGTTGATTTTTTGGGTCTCCAGCAAATACCACTCATCTTTCTTTCCTGTCTTTCCCCCCCCCCCTCAAATTTTTTTATTTTACTTTATGTATTTATTTGATTTGTCAATTGTTTACAAGATAATAAGTATAAGAATAAACAGGAGTATGAATGAAATGGGGAGGGACGGTTTTCTGGCTGTTGTTTGAGCCTCGGGACACCTTCGTCCAGCAAGCTGTCTTTGTAGGGGGATGGAGTTTATTTATTAAATAAATTGAAATGTATTTTAAATTTCCTCCCCATTTTGCCATAGGCGTGGGGGACTCTGGGAGATTGCCCTTACAAATGCAGGTAGTCTTTGACTTACAGCCACAGGAATGCCCAACATTTCTCTTTTGTTCAGTGAGTTTTGCCCTGTTTTTTTTACGACCTTCATGGCCACCATTGTTAAGTGAACCCCTGCAGTGGGATAAGGTGGTGAAGTCCATCTGGCTTCCCCATTGACTTTTTTTGCTTGGGATGCAGCAACGGTCATAAGTATGAACCGATTGCCAACCGTCTGAATTTTGATCACGTGAGCATGGGGAGATTGCAAAGGTTGTAACTGAAAAATAGTCCTAGGTCATTTTTTTCAGAGCTGTTGTAATGTTGAACGGTCACTAAATGAACTGTTGTAAGTCGAGGACTACCTGGACAATAAAAACATAAGCTGAAAAGTAGAATCTATCTGCTAAGAGGGATCCTGTTTAAGGTGAGGCTGCTCTAGGATGGTTAATGCTTCAGTGTCTATTTCACAAATGAAAGCGTAATATGACCGCAATTGAAAAAGTGGGCACAATTCTTAACAGCCTCCTTACTTAGCAATGCTGTGGAGAGACCTGGCCCATAAAATTGCCAAAGGTTTGACACAACTGAATGAATAACGTCACTTAGCAACAGAAATTGTGGTCCCAATTGTGGTTGGAAGTCAAGGATATTTAGGTTTGAATTTTCTTGAGTGGATGCTCCTCTTAAACCCAGTGAGAACTTGGCAATTCCGTAGACATGTCTAGATTTGCAGTGTTGTTTCTTTTTTTGTTGACTTTGTGTTTGTTTGTGGTATTCTGTTCTGCTAGATCTGTGCTTAATTTTGTTTAGATCTTGTTTGCTTATGTGCAACTGTTGGCTTTTTTGTTATCATAAAACTGATAATTGTATCCTGGAAGGCTGTTAAATTTATCATAAGATTCTTTAGTGTCTTAACACATAAAGCTATATATATATTACTCATTGGCAATTTGGGGTATTTCAAATTTGGATTAATGAGCAAACAATATTAAAGGGAAGGTCATTCATCAGCCGAGCAAAGTTTTACTTATTTCATATCCTCATAGCATTCTTTAAGATACAATACCACAAATATAATTCATTTTGTTTATTTGTATATTTTCTCTTCTCTACTTTATTCTGACAGGACAGATCTATGCCTATCTACCCAGAAGTAAGTCCCATTTATTGATGTTTCCATTAGACTTGGTGATGGATAAGTATATACCAATTTGCCCTTAATAATGTTTATGTCTTAAATAGTCTTGCCAGAATACCATGTGTGGAGAAGAGACCTTTGTAATGTTGCTTCAGATTGAACAGGGTTCATGCTCACTGCAAAATAATGCCCAATCTGTATACTGAGCTTTGATTCTTCATGAACTATTGTGTAAGCTCTTTGCTCTTGTGCTGATGAAAGATTTTTCTAGGATTTAGTGTTGGGGCATTGCTTGACAGGCATTCCTTGAACACCCCTGTGATCTTGGTGAAACAAACATATTTTGTTTGGCCTATGTCTCCAATTTTTTTAAAAAAATGAATAAAAATTCTGCTTCTGTAGGGTTTAGTTAGCGTATCTGTAAAGTATTCTGTGTATTCCTACTTTCATGTTACTTGCACAGTCAAGCAACATACTGACTGGTTCACACATTTTGCTAGGCAATTTTTTTTTCTGCCTGAAAAAGCCACAGTGGCTGACTTTATGTGTGCAAAAATAACATGGGTATTTGTTTTTAAGAATTTGCACAATGAAGATTCTAACTTCCATCACTGGTAATTGCTTTGCTACAGAGAAGCAACTTATTGTCTTGAATTATTTAACACCAAAGCTGAAAATAAAGATTATTTTCTAACATCATATCACAATCTTTTATTCTACCTTCATGTACTTACAAACATTGTTCTCAGGTGCCCTATCTGTCTTTTGCTATCACATTCGCCTGGGCTTAGAATTAACCTTTTTTGGTTTCAGCATATCATTGTCTGATCTTATAATTATACACCAGTGTAGTATTATTAGACATATCATAATTATACACTTGAAATATTCAAATATACTTCAGGTATTATTAGTATAAGAATAGTAAACATGTAAATAAGTAGTTGCAAACCTAACACTGGGTATAATCAAGTAGTTATGCTTTCTGCTAAATTGCAGTTTAATTTTTAAAAAAACTGGAAAGTGAACATTTTTGAAAAACAAGTTGAAATGTCCTCAAGCAATCTTTTTTGAGAATTGCAGACATTGGACTGGTTCTGTTATATTCAAAGCATAAATGGATATGTACTAGTACAGTTCTCTAAAATTCAGAACTGTCTGGTTTGAGTTGTAAAAGCCAAAGTAGCAAATTGAATCTGAATTTGCAAGGGAAGAATCTTGCATAATAACATTCTGTAGTTTGGCACTAGCCATAATCTGAATTAATAGGTACTTTCACATAGACAGGCTTGTGAAATTAATTTATGCAAAGGAGAGCAAGCCAGATTCATGATCTGAGTTTGTTAGAATCAAGACACAAACAGAGCAGCATTCATGCAGAAAACAGAAATGTAACTTATTATTCTGCAAAGACAGCCATTGTGTGATTCTGAGTTATGCTGGAACTCAAATAATTTGAATGCTAATGCTATACAAATCCAGTTAACAAGCAGTAATTGAGGTAAATAAACTTTGGAATGCTGTCTAAATTCTGCCAGGCAAAAGATTTTCAACATCCTTGATGTTTTGCTGTTGTCCTTTTAGTAAGGTCAAGGGTACACTCCCTGGCAATTTATTTTTGTAAGTATTTATTATGTTGTTCTTGTTATGATAAATTGCTTTGAGACTGTTGGTCATTTTAAAAATTACCAAAATAAAAGAAGAAGAAAATACCTTTTACGGGGAAATAATGCTGGGGGCTTAATATATAACAGATGCTATTCCTCATGTCTATGATTCTCAATCCTCCAGGTCACAGTTGTCCCAAAGGTGATTTTTCAAGNTTCAACTCCCAGAATTCCCCAGCCAGCGAATGCTGGCTGGGGAATTCTGGGAGTTGAAGTCCGGACATCTTCAAGTTGCCAAGGTTGAGAAACACTGCCTTAGATGTCTCCAGTGCTTGCTTTTTAAGCCCTGCAAATGTTAGTTAGCTTCCCACCTCCACAGAGGGAGAGAATACTTTGAACAAATCCATCTGCTCCAACACAGATTTCTTTTATTTTTATTTTCTTTTTAAAGGCTTTTTTGTTTACACTTGTGTATCTTTCATGGCTTTTAGACCTCCCCCAATTCTCCCCATTTCTAAGTAGCTTGGAAAGAAGGTGCATTTTATTGCAACTCACTCAACCCAAGTCTGTTAATCAGCTGGAGAATGTGAATTAAAACACATTTTTGGGTACAGTCTACTCATCCCCACAAAGGATTTGCACAAGCTATTTAAACGGAGAGCTTAAGCAAGGAACTTAATTCTGCAAGAACGAAACCAACCAACCTTGAATGTCTTTGAATTATAACCAAGACAGAAGTGCAGGGTAAAATCTGAAAGTCAGCGATGGAAGGAAATATCTTAAGACAGCGGAAACGTTCACCAACCTGCAAAAACACAGTAAAACAAATGCCAACAAACCATTGTTATCTGCAGTGCTATTACGGTGAAGAACACGTTTAACTATTTACATTTTCTCCAGAATTCATTGAGTTATGAATCTGGAGACACATCTTGCATCCTGAGATATATTGTGGATACATGAAATGGCAGTGACTATGTTTACACCTCACCATAAAACATGATGTAGTTTTCCTGTGATTTTCAGTGAGTTGGGAGCATTGTATATATTCCTCTGTATTTTCCCTGTTACATTTTGTCCCGTTCTAGAGAACTCTTGCTAATGTAACTTTAAGGAAGAAGGTTTCCTTTCATTTTCCTTTGTTTTATTTCAGCCCATCAAGTTTTAAGAAAGAACCTATTTACATAGTCCTCAACTGATGACAATTGAGTCCAAAATTTCTGCTACTAAGTGAGATGTTAAGTGAGTTTTGCCCTTTTAGGACCTCTCTTGCCAGAGTTGTTAATTGAATCACTGTGGTTGATAAGTTAGTAACTCGGTTGTTAAGTGAATCAGGCTTCCCCGTTGACTTTGCTTGTCAGAAGATCGCAAAACATACTCCTGGGACACTGCGACCGTCATAACTATGAGTCAGTTGCCAAACATCTGAATTTTGATCACATGACTATGTGGATGTCACAATGGTCGTAAGTCTCTTTTTTCAGTGTTGTAATTTTGAACAGTCACTAAATGAACTGTTGTATAGCAAGGACTGCCTGTGTTTTCTTCCTTTTAATTCCCCTAATTTTGAATTTTTATTCCTGCATTTCCACTGTTATTTCAATGCCTGCCCAAGTGAATCTTTTTCCCACCATTGCAGAAATTAAATGTCTCAGATGGAGATGAACTAAGATTGCAAATTACCTGATTAGAAACACACCTGTTTAAAATTCTTCCTGCCTATAACAAAAAGTATTTCTATATCAAACCTAAGGCATATCACTTTGTTCTGGACTGCTGATTATAGCTCAACCATATGAACACTGAAATTTTCCCTTCCTTGTTCCTTTTCCTATCTCCTTTTCTATTTTTATTGAACATTAAAAGAAAATGCATAAAAAGAAAAGAAGGGTAAAGAAAAAGTAAAAAAAAAAAGTAAAATACAGATGAATGAACAAGAGGATTTAGATCTGGTGGTTATCATTTTCTAGTATAATATAGTTTTAAGTAAATGAATGTATCCTATTGGTTAATAGTCAAAAAAAGTCACTATTAACCTCTAAACCAGCATTTTTCAAACTTGTCCACTTTAAGATGTGTGAACTTCAACTCCGAGAATTCCCCGGCCAGCCTTCCGAAAGTTGAGGTCCACACATCTTAAAGTAGAGAAGTTTGAAAATTGCTGCCATAAACTAAAAATGAATAGTGAGAGCTATGATCAACCTACTATAAATCACCAGTAATATTATAGTCTTCAATAAAACTAATCCATATTAGTGAAAATTTCTGTTAGACTGGGAAATTAAAATCTATACCATGTTTCTCCGAAAATAAGACAGGTCTTATTTTCCTTTGACCCCCGAAATAAGCGCTTGGCCTTATTTTCGGGGAGGTCTTATTATTTTTGAGATGCAGGAGGCGGCGAGCGAGGTCACCTCATGGCTGCTGCTGTGTTGCAATATTTTCAGGGAGGGCTTATTTTAGTGCATGCGCTCAAAAGCCCCATTGGGCTTATTGTCCAGGGAGGTCTTATTTTCAGGGAAACAGCATACTCATAGAAGCGCATAAGAAACACACATTTTGGAGGGAGGACGAATGTTGTATTCTAGGAATTGATTCTAGTTTGAACTGAATTTTGAGCTAGATTTGTTTTTAAGGTATGAAGTCATTCCAAACATGGAAGCATCTTCCCACACTTAATCATTCTTCTGTTAAAGAAACCAAGCAACCTTTCCAGGAAAAAGCAGAGAATACAGTGCTGCATTGTTGCAGCAACACACAAAGCTAATTCAGTACACTCTGAAAGGGATCAATGATTTATCAAAAGGCCCTCTGACATTTCTAATGATTTTCTCCCCTGTGAACTGTCTTACTGATTTTGAGCTTGCTTATGTTCAAAAACGTATTAAAAGCTTGTATCAAAGTGCTGCATGCAGAAAGGTATACCAAGAACTAGAAACAGCCTGTCAATGTTAGCCTTCAACAATCCCAGAATTTAAAATAAGGCATCGTTGCCTTTTGGCCCTGATTGCAATTGCTGCTAATTTCTTTAACAATTGATGGGCAAATCTAACAACTGTAATTCATAAACTATTTTCATTGTTTAGTGTTGTGTGAAACCAAACATGGTGGCTTTTTCAATACATTGTGATTTAGTACAAGATGTAGAACTTGCTAGACAATTAGGGAAACGAGCTTGTAATCTTTATTGAACCATTAAGAATCTTTAGATATCACTGTATATCAGTGTACTAAATTAGAGCTGAGGATACCTTAAGGAAATCTGTTTTGAAATATTCAGTACAGTTAATGATTGGGCCTTTCCTTTGATCCTCTAGCTTTGGCCATAAATCTTCCATGATCATCCAAGCATGGAGAACTGTCTCATTTGGCAGTAAATTATATAAGAGTAACATTTATGAATAAAATGACTATCTCCAGTTTGTATCAAAGAGCTCCCTCCATTCCATCTCTTGCTACAGTTTGCTTATAAAGCTTATAATGCCTAAAGCTGCTACCTATTTAAAAGATAGTTTGAATTCATTTACCTACATATTCCATATTAAAAAGTATTCGACAGTCAAGACACATTCCAAATATTTTCAATCCACAAAGAATGGCGTAGAGCACCACTAACAGACATTGTAGCTTTTGCACTTAGGCTTAAAATGAATGAGCTGGAAGGAACCTTGGAGGTCTTCTAATCCAGCCCCCTGCTCAAGCAGGATGGACTACAAGTCCTTATCAGTTTCAATGTGTTATACTGAGCTACACACACACAAAGCAGAGAGATATCGACCAACAAAATCAGAGAGGAATGAAATAAACAAAAAGATGTACAGCAATACATGTATTTACCTAGCAAATCTCTACTTAAAAGCAAGCCTAATTTCATAAACTCCTTCCCACAAGACTGTTCTTCGAAGCAGTTTACAATAAAAATTAAAATACACGCATAAACACTTATATTATATTGTTGTAAAATAACTCATGGGGATGGAATGATGCAAGCAAAACAGAACTATTCATTTGAAGAGACACACAAAAAGCTTGGATAGAAGAGAAAACTTCAACAGGTGCCTTAGAGTTGTGATCGAAGGTGTTATATGAAAATTTGCAAAAAGAGAATTAGTAGTCATTGGAGACACCACAGAGCACTTCTCCAAGGAGCAACCACAGGTATCTCTCGGTAACTCTTGACATGCCCAAGAAGCCCCTTACCAAGGGGCATCAGGAAGGTTGATCTTCATTTATCCTGAAGATTAATAAACTCAAGATAGAAGCTGTGAATGCATCCCATATAAAACAGGCAAAGTTTCAATGGTGTGGCCAGAGGTCCATCATAAGCAAAACTCTGAATTATGGCCAAATAAACAGCCAGCACATTTACTTCGGAAAACGTACTGCAGATACACAACAAATTAACAGCCTTATTCCACACCAGACAAAATTTGAGACCCACATGAAGCACATGGGAATAAATGCAATGTGAGGCTACTACAACATACTTTCCCTAGTACAAGAAAAAGTATAATTTTGGCATGCCATTTGAAATGGATAATCAGTCCCTTAGGTCTCCAATGAAGACTACAGGATTCTCTTACAACTTTCCCTTTTATGAAATACAAACAGACTTTGCAGAAATCATTTCCTTCTCCATGTTAAAGGAGCATTTGATCTCTTATTCGCATACCAAGACAATTGCCCAAGATTTATTTAATTGGGCAACACAACTTGATTCCTACAGATCTTTTCAGGATAACCAGGAATAAGTTTAAACATGCACTTTTCCATAACAACACATCTCATATTACATGTCCAGCAGGCTGAAACCCAAACCCAGTTATTATTACACCACAAGGAGGGCCCAGATTGTTGGGGCAAGAGGCTGACTCTGTAAATCACTTAGAGAGGGCTTGAAGCACTGTGAAGTGGTATATAAGTTTAAGTGCTATTGCTACTGCCNCTTCTCATTAGGTGGCTAAAGTATTTATGAGTAGCTTTAACAGTAGGGAAAGGAAACTGAAGGAGATTCCCTAAAGGTTTATTGTTAATATATATGTGTGTGTGTGTGTGTGTGTGTGTGTGTGTGTGTATGTATATAGTGAATTTTGGGCAACTTTTTTCCCTTGATCTATTGGAATCAGAAGCACGTTCAAGTGAATGGTGACACTTCACTGAAGATGCCAGTTTCACTCACACTTGGAGGTATCTGCTTCCCTTTGAACATTTGGTGTTATGTTTGGATTGTAAAGAACACAACACACAGTTTGAGAGAGAAAAGGAAGGCAAGGTTACAAGTGGAGATCACAACTCTTTGTGCGGAGGGGAGGGTAGTTGCTGATCTCAACATAGCGGAAGATGTACAGGTAGTCCGTGACTTATGACCATTCATTGAGTGACCGAAGTTACAACAACACTGAAAAAAGTGGCTTATGCCCAGTTTTCACACGATTATTGGAGCATGCCCATGGTCACATGATCAAAATTTGGATACTTTGAAACTGGCTCATATTTATGAAGTTGCAGTATCCTGGGGTCATGCGATCCCCTTTTGCAACCTCCTGAAAAGCAAAATCAATGGGGAAGTCAGATTCATTTAATGTTACTAACTTAACAACTGCAGTGATTCACTTAACAGGCTGTGGCAAGGAAGGTTGTAAAATAGGGCAAAGTTAACTGTCTCAGCAAAAGAAACTTTGGGCTTAATTGTGCTCATCAGCCGAGGACTAACTAGTAGCTAATTATAAATCTGTTGTCTGACTTTTAAGATCCTGTTTCTTTTCTTTTTCTTTTTAATTAGAAAACTGCTGGGGAAGGCAGTGGTAAAAAGTCAAGTTCCGGAAACTCAGGAAAAGGTGGAGGCCAGCTGCGATGCCCAAAATGCGGTGATTTATGCACACACGTGGAGACTTTTGTCTGTAAGTTCTACAAGACATATCTTCTGACTTTCTCAGTTTTTGTAAAAAAAAAAAAAAAAA